AATCCTACTAAGGTTTCCTGCAAGAAACAGTTGGAGTGTCTGGCGCAGCTCTATTCATCATGTATAGCAGGTGAAGACCCAGAGATGTGAGGCTGACCTTTCTTTGACTTTTGAACTTGCATGTGTGTTGTGAGGGGGAGGTAGATGAGAAGTGGAAGTTGTGGGACAGTTACAGTGTACAAACAAATAACACTTGGAAAAATAAACTAAGCCAACACAGTTATTAAAATAAATGGATACTAGCTAAAAGTTTAGGGAAGGAGATGAACCTGATGCAGTACTCTGAGCTGCAGAAGGCTGAAGTTGTATGGTCCTATCTGAAACCAGACCCTTCCCTAACACATCTTTCCTGTAATTCCCATATTGATTTACACCGTGGCTGTGTGTGGGGAGGGAGTTCTTTGCTGACTGTGCCATAGAACAGTTATCTATCTTTTTACCTTCGTTTATTAAAGCAGGTCAATACTGAATATCCACCTTTAGTATCTCATTTCCTCTCTTCCAGAAAACCTGGTACCAAATATTTTTCTGGAGCTCTTTTTTGTTCTGCAGCTGTTGACATCTAAAGGCACTTCTACTGCAGAAGATGGGGACAATGACCTTGAAGTCAATGAAGGAAGTAAGGGTAAACAATAGTATTGAGTGGAAAGAATGTTACTTCCATGGAATGATAATGTGATATAGAGTAGTTGCCTTTAGCTTGAACAGTTAGTCTTAAATTCCATAAAAGCGCCTTATTACCACTGTGGGACTCATCTGAGATGCTGACAAAAGTCATGCATGTATGGGAAGTGCTTCCGCAATATAATAGAGCAGGATTGCTAGATACTGTTTGAATCTAGTTTTCTGCTATTGTGTGAGATTTGCTGTAGCTACTTGCTAACACTGACTTTCAGAGAGAAGGACAGATATGCTAAAGTCTCTCCTCCATTGGTCCCTGCAACTCAAAAGTGCTGTTGATCTGCTATGTGTTTCTTAAAATTTAAGGTTGGGTTACAAGTGCATAGGACCCATCCATATAGATATGTAATTGTTGCATTTGTTTTCTGGCAAATTCAGACTTAAGCCTGATGCAGTTAGTATTTTGATACAGATATAAAAACCAAAAAAGTGGCTTTAAGGTGAGACACCCCACCTGCCCCTCCCCAAGATACTCCTATTTGATTGACCTTTGTTTTGCCACTCACTGATTCTTAGGGCTGATATTAGGAACACGAAGTCTGCAGCTACGGGAACAGCAGCTGACGACTGGTTGCAGTTGGTCTACTTTTTGTCCTGGATCTGCTTACCGTTGGCCAGGACATTGAGAAGGAATCTTTTCTTTCCCATACAGTATTGAACTGTAGTAACAGCAGTTGCCTTTAGTATAAGAATGATAGGGATGGGAGGATTTGTCTATTTCCAGTGTCAGGGAATGGGAACTTCTGGAAATTGGATACTGGACTGGAGGACTGTTTTTGGATATGGCAGTTTCTACTTTCCTTGAAAGCTAATTGTTGGTCTTTTAGTTCATAAATGGTGACAGGTGCTGTTGTCTCATGTTTCTTTTTTTCCCTTAGATGCGTCAGGGAGACAGCATTTCCGAAGTGTGCACAATTGTGTTTATTTTGCTGTTCAAGTCTTGGATTATCAGTATGAGTGAGTTGAATTTTTTTTTTTTCCTCTGCTTGTGTCTGCAGATGTGTGTGAGGTGAAGCAAGTGTGCTTGGATTTTAGAGCTTTACCACTTCCAAGCATGGAGTTGTTAATTTTCCCTCAAAACATACAACTTGGCCTGGATTTGGATGTCTGTGAGTTTTCCTTGCACTGATCTGTCTACTGAACTTCAGTGTGATTATGCAAGAATGGGAAAGTCATGAGATGAGAACAATAAAAAATGGCCGTACAGAGAGATGCCAGTAGGATTTGATGCTGGATGCCTGGGGCTTAGAACTCTTTGCTTGGTAGCCTCATTAAAAAATGAGCATAAGCATTTCTTTAGGTCTGATCATGTGTTGTTTGTGTCTGTCTGTCTGTGGGTTTTATCCATGTTGTCTTGGCAGAATTATTTCCCGTTTAGAAAAGGGGACACTGAAGCTCTTGGCTGAAAATGAACGGATTGCATCTTTTTCTCCCACCTTGCATGAGAGGCTCAGGCAGGCTTATGAAAGCAGCACAGCCAAGGTAAAAGTTGGTAGACCTCCACTGACATTGCTTCATACCTTTGTGTTGTTGCTCTTTTATTTGTGATGGCTTTGATGTTAAATCTCATTCCTTCTACTTTGAGTATCTTGTCATGTCCTCTTTGGCAAGTGTCTAAAAGCTAGGTTTTTTTCTTGTCAGCGGGTGAGTGAATTGCTGCGTCCAATGACTGTTAGCTGTGCTAACCTTACATTGTCCTCCAGGCCCTGACCTCAGCCAGCGACTTTGGCAGGGTCAGGTTTTGCTTTTGAGATTCTCATCTAATAAACATGGATCCCAGAAGAATGATCAGTTAGATGCAATATCAGAACGTAGTTTGGAAGAAGTGGATTTGTTCCATAGCTACAGACTCTTTTTAGGCAGATGAAGCTTCAGAGGAGACAATGCAGCCTGTGAAAACTGGTTTCCTGATCTAATCATCTGAGCTAGGGAACTAAAGCTAGATGGTAGGAATGCCTGCCTTAATGTATTTTGTATCGTTTCATCCATCTTTTAAAGATGGAAATTGCTCTTGGCAAAGAAAGTACAGTGTACTTTGTGAGACTAGGGCATGTCATTAGCTGAGCTATTTAGTTAAAGCTGTAAATAAAGGTCTCTTGTTACTTGAAGACATAGGCTTTTCGAATAGGAGAAAGAAGAATAATACAGTAATTGCCAGCCACTATCCTGCAGTCTCTGGAGCCCTATATTGAATGTACACTTTGGCTATTTGCAGGTCTTTCTTTCCACACTGTATCAATATTGGTTGCAGACTATTCTGCAGAGATTTCTTAGAGAGATGAGATGCTTCCACTCATAATGTTGAGTGATTCTGCCTCTGTAGTGTAACGTAGGTTGTACAACTGTTGGTGTTTACTGTCAGTTAGCAATTGGGAAATGGCTTGTGTCTGAACAACTCAACAAGTGATCCTTGGTTTCCTCATTGCATCTTTTCCCTGCTTTTTCTAGGTCTCAGATTGTTGGATAAATTAGAGACTTATATTAGTCTAATGGCTGCCTTTATATTTTTAACAGGTGTCTCTCCTGCTGCCATGCTCTGTACAGTCTGTTTCTTTCCAGCCAGAAACTGACAATCGCTCTAACTTTCCCAGTGACAGAGCATTTCACATATTTAAGAAACAAAGGTAAGTTTCTTCTACTGTTACCGTATGGCTCAAAGGGTATAATCTTTCCATGATTGTGAACAAAGGATATTGAGAATGTCTCATGTATGCTACATGCTGTAGAAAAATCTTGAGATTTTCACTCTAATTTAAAAAAAAAAAAAAAAAGTCTTTGTCCATATTGACTGCAGGAGCTAAATGCTTAATGTCTTTAGAGAAGAACAGCCTAATTCTTCAGGAGTTATTGAGACTTCTGGTAAATGCCAGTACAGTGTGTCACCCTACTGGATTGCTTCTGCATATAAATCTGGTATGCTTTTATTCTTCCTGCCACCTCCCTCCATGCTTGCAGCAACAGGGTGAGGGGAGAATGGCAAGTTGTCTTGGTCCTTTTTTCTCTCCTCATAGGTATTATTTCATGTGGCTTATTCTTTCCTGCCTCTCAGTCTTCAGTATGTCTGGTAATGGGTGTTTTGGTCATTCCGTCAGAGCTTGGGCATAACAAGCTTAAGCACTTGCTGTCAAAGACATGGAAAATGGAAACTCGCTGAAGTACCGCTAACATTAATGAGTTTTGCAAAGGTATCTGAATGCTTAGAGGCTTGAGTTATTTAATCTGAGGTAGATTCTTGCTGGGGAACTTAGGAGCGATTGAATATTCAGTTGTTGTTACTTCAAATTTTGATGAGTAGGAATTCATACCCTTAAATATCTTGATTCACAGGGATATCTTTTATGAACTGCTGCGTGAATGGGAGGATAACCATGAAAAATCTGGCTGGGACTTTGAAAGAGTTCTGGGCAACAAGATCAGGTAGGAGTCTTTTGCAACTTCAGCTAGCTTCTTAATGTAGCTGAATTGCTGGTGCAGCATATTAGACTTGGCATCCTAAGCTGCATGCCCTTCCTAACAGTCTTCTGTGCTGCTCTGTAGGGAGCTGTGCTTCTTGGAAGGTACTGTCCATGTAAACTTGCTTCTATATTTAAAAGTATCAACTTCCCTAAAAGAAACAAGCCACAAGTGGCAAGGGCCTAATTTGATCAGTCTTGGTG